TACCGCTGTAGGTTTTACTCGATGCGTACCCTCTTTAAAATCCTCCCATCTTAAAATGTTTGTGGCAAACAAAACTGAAACAGGTTTAAGTAAGTAAAGCATKCCCTTGTTMTTTGTAAATGACGTGTGGAAATGCAAAGCAAATGACAACTTAATGCATTTTTCAACTAAATTTTACTTAGCTCTCTGTAAATCGGTGCTACACTTGTACTGTCAATAAATTGATAAATATTAACACATGTTTACCCAATTCTGTGCAGATGCTTGTAAAAATGGTCCTTAAAATTTGGGTATTCGCGGCATATTTCCACTTCCGAGACATGCCCTGGCCTCTTCGGGGTTTGGAAAGTGGAAAAAAGGCCTTTCTCTATTGTGGCACCCTGGCACAGAAGAGGGATTTCGGCTCAAACTCATCACGTCCTGTTAACAAAATCTTAGAATGTCGCTTATACATTAGGCATTTTCTTACCTCTTATAACTCAATGTATCAACAAAACACTAATACCTAAACTTAAACACTAAAAATTGTTCAAACCCCTGAAATCAAACACATTGCACCTTTGTTCCTTGTGTTTACAATTTATACGTACCTAAACACTAAATTTTATATTAATCTCACAATAAAAACGTTCAGAAAAATATACACGCACACAAAACAAGTTGGAAGCGACACAAAACGAAACACAACGCAAATCGAGGACACACCACAAAGTAAAGTAAAAACAAAATGGCGATAGAGAATCTTCAATTCATGCATACCCTTCAATTTTTTACTATCTGTCAACTTCAACTGTCATATTTTGCCGCTCTATTTCGAAACGCGACTAACGTTCATGCGATATCTGTGAGTTGCTGCGGGTACTAAACTTGTTTCGACGAAATACGTCATAAAAGTTAAATACCCCTGGTACACACCAATATAATGGCGCAGTGACACATTTAAGATCAAATTTGTAACGCGCATGCTTGACGTAGGGGTTGCATGTCATCAGTGGCGTACTTTAAAGCTGTCCGGGAGTGAGCGAGCAACTCGGTTTTCAGCACTTATTATTGCAAGCAGCAATACACCCTAGACAGGGTCCAAACTCAGTAWATTGTAAAAGGACAYTTAACWAACATTTTAATCMGTTCAATTTGTAGAAGTGGCTCCAAAAACTTCTTAGAAAGTTAAACATTGTTTTGAATTTTATAACTTCAAAAGAAGTCGATAATTTAACCATTCCATGAACTGTACCTGATACCTATTTACTAATTAGAAAGCAGGGCTCACAGGTAGGTATAACAAAATTTCATTTTCAATTTTCTTAGAATGTAAGTTGGGGGAAGGGGCAAGGATATACATCATATAAGCAACTCGGACCTTTTCACTAATTACTCTGACAAGTGTAATCTTGCTACTTCGTTGTGTGTATTTTGGTTAGTGCTCTCTTTTCGGTCTTTTCCAAATCTGTCTTTCTCAAGACAATTTTTTTTATAAATCGTTTGATTATTCAGGTACCTAGTTAATTACATATTACAAATAATACAAATACAAATAATATTTTATAAATACATTTTTATAGGAACGAATCGTCGGTCGCGGACACCCTTAATTTTCCTTAGCAAGCATAAATCGAATTGTGTTTTTTTCGTCTTTTGTTAATTGTTAATTGTGTATTTGGTAAGTACAGACAATTTTTTTCTTAATATTTCAAGCTTTTATTTGGTGACCTATTTGAATTAAGCCAAATTATTTTATCCACGGCAAAACACGATTTTTCAGGCTTCAGTACGCGAAGCTTCATTTTGTACAGATTTCCTTTTTCCACTCCGATCGCAACAACTTTACCATTGTTTAAAAATTAACAATTTTGTCCTACATTTTTAATGACAAAATCCAAACCCCTTTTGGCTGCAACTTTCACAGAAAATAAATTGTGTTTCATCTCCGGTGTGAATAAAACGTCTTTTAAAATTCCTGGAAGCCACTTATTATCAACGAAAGTCTGTATTTTCTACAAAGTAAATAGTGTATGTTTTTGGTGTCAAAACTACACCTACAAAGGGATGAAACTTTTTATGGAGAAAAACTCTCTCTGAAAACCTTTGAAAGAGGGTTCTTGAAAAATAAAATTTTAACTATCTTAACCTCACTTTTTTTAGTGACAAATTTAGTTCCTTAATGTGTAAAGCCTTTTTCACATTTAAAGCGCAGTTTACACATTTATGACCTACTGTTATGCCAATTTAAATGAAATGGATTATATATGCTTTTTTTGTGAATAGAGCTGTACCTATTCTTAAATAAAGTATTTAGAATAACATCTATTAAAATTATATTTCATCCTGCAATGGGTTATGGATGGCAATAACCCGCGGTGCTAATGGCAACGTTATATCAAACAGTCTAGTTATTGCTCAGTTTACTTAACAAAAACTAACAAGTAAAACTCTATATTACTATTGAATATTGGATAAACTTGTTTATTCACGACTATTGTATAATGTACCTCTTATACGTCTGTTTGTTCGATCTTAATAATACCCATTAATCACTGCTGTCAGAAGCTTCCTTGATTTAGCTAAAATATTATATTGTCCTTGATTTAGCCATAAAATTATATGTATTGTTTTGCTACAAACAATTATTGGTTTTTAAAATTTTATCGTGTAAACCACTAAATATTTTCAAATCAGTTCTGTACATATAAAAAAAAATAAAAAAAATTAATTTTCCTTGACGAGATTCGAACCCGGGACTCACGGTTGGAAGGCAACCAATTCAATTTAAAAGCATTTATTCAATTAAACAAATTACAAGGATCAGAAATTGTACAATGACAAAAATCTTAACCTAATTTACAAATTACAATATACAGGTTCATGCAAAGATATGCTTACCCTGCAGTGCAAACAATTATTGGTGCGCTGAAGGCGCCGTATGCTAATTAATACAAATAGAATTTTCTTATAACTAACATGCATGAAAAAATTATCATTAAACTAAGTGAAAGAAGTACAAAAACCCTTTTGCTGTTGACCCCGCCGAGCCATGAATTACGCGTCCTACCTAAGTTAACTTAATTATGCAACGAAGTGCGCGACTGTGGACCAGGGGTCTCCCCAGCCCTGTAGTTTTGTACTTTTTGAAAATGTTTATTTTATGTAGTTTTAACTAATTTAACTTAACCTATTTATGTACAAGATATTTACATATACCAGGTGAATAAAAAGTATGGAACCAAACGTTTTTTTTGCTTAAACTATTTATTTTTTGAAAAAACTAATTGATGAGTGATAAAGTACTATAAAAATGTGATAATTTAACAAGAATTAAATTTTTCGAAATTTCTTTTTGTTTTTGAGTTCTACAAAAAAAAATTTAAATGGCAACCCACTATAAAATCATTTTTGCAAATTTTGACAAAAAAAATCGCATAACTCAAAAACAAAACAAAAATTGGTTCTGAAAATAAGATCACATTTTTTATATTACTTTAATTTATATTAATTATTATTTGCTGGAGGCAAATGATTAAAAATAAAACCGCTTGGTTCCATACTTTATATTCACCCTGTATACAGAATGCGCCAGAACTCGCGCCCCAGAGAAAAATGTCAAGTGCCGGCGGCAATGGGTCGCCACAAAGTGCAGCCGAAGAAGTAACTTTTGTTTGCATAAGAAAGTTATTAGACCCTTAATTCCGCCAATCCCAGAAGGGCACCGCAGGGTGGGATTGAAAAATTATATCTGTTGCTGGGTTACAAAAATAATACCAATTTGCCTAGAATCTTCAATAAATAGTTGGTCTACTGTAATTTTCACATCTGTCATGTGTTGACATAACACGATATTTTCGAATATTTTTCTCCCCGAAGAGGTTATACACGAGTGTAATGGTTTGAATTTGTGTTAGATGTCAATTGTGTGGTTTGAGTTGATAAGTTTTAACCATGTAATTAGCCGCTGATTATTTGGAGATAATAACCATTTTTGGAAAATGTTGGCGTAACGCCAGGGAGGCAGCTAGGATATTTTCCAAACGTTTTCCTGACAGAAATCGCCCATGCTATAAGATCACATTGAGGGCCATTGCCAGGGTGCAAGAGCGGTCAAGTCCTACCAGACACAACAGAAATTAGAGGTGTTACCAGAACGGCGCGCATAGTTGAAAATGAAGAAGCTTTTCTTGATTTTTTAAGATGGCACTAAGTAGATGCATCAGAGAAGTTGTAATCATTATAACTGACATACTCGTATTAGGCCAGAGGAAATTTCAAATGCTTTGTTTCCGGGGGCATTTCAGCAATGATTTTCAGTAAATTTGTGGACTGTTGAGAAATATTAATTAATTTCAATATCAATATTACTCTTGTGGATTGTTTAATGAAAAAGGAAGCAAGGGGTCTTAGTGCAATGTGTGTTTTTAGGTTACACTACCGAACAAAAATACCTTGGTAAATCTACAATTATGACAGTAAAAATTATCCTAACCTGTTTCGTTCAAGCACAAATTCTTATAAAAAGTACATTTTTCTGTTACTTTTGCAGTAAAGTAAAGAAACTGGCGTACGTTTTTGTCTTTCTGGTTAATCTAACTCGCTTCTAGCATTAGTTTTCGGCTTGTTGTTTGTGTTGTTCATATCAAAGAAAAAGTTAAGTAGGAACAATGCTTCTGAAGAAAACATCTAAAAGTATTAAAATAGTTGTTGGTTCATCGCAATGGAAATCGAGTTTTCAAAAATTTTCAACGATTTCGGCTCATTATACTTGTGCACTGCATCTTCAGCGAGAAAAATATTCGAAAATAGCGTGTTACCTATGTCAAAAACATGACAGACAATTACAGTAATCCAGCTATTTTGTTGAAACTTTTAGGCAAATTGGTATTATTTTTGTAACCAAGCAATAGATATAATTTTCCAATTACACCCTGAGGTGCCCTTCTGGGATTGGTGGAATTGAGGGTCTCTCAACTTTCTTATGCAAGCAAAAGTTACCTCTACGGCTGCACTTTTTGGCGACTCATTGCCGCCGGCATTTGACATTTTTCTCTGGGGCGCAAGTTCTGGCGCACTCTGTATACAAAAAGTGTAGATTGGAAATTCGTGGACCACATAGCGAACTAGAGGTCGATCCTTGATTTCCGACGTTAAATCAACTGGATTGGTGACTGATTCATTTATTCAGTTAGACTTTGACAGATCACACGAGAGTAAAATTCCATGGATCTGTCTAAGGGGTCTGAGGCCCTGCTGGAAGTTTATTATCGTAGATGCTCAAATGTTGATACGATAATTTATGTTTTAGCCTGAAGGGCGTGTTACAACTTCTAAATTTAGTGGTTCTACGAGTTAATTTATTGAAATGTAATTGATGACTATAAAAATTATTACTAAGTTTATTGATAAATGCGCGTAAGCTAGTGGTCGCCGATCTTTCCTGCAGATCGACAATTCTAGCATAGCGGCTTTTATTCAAAGCTTATCTTAAACATTTATTTTGAAAAGCTTCCAGCGGTTTGAAGGCAGTATCCGAGAGGTAGCACCATACGGGGGCGGCGTATGTTAATATTGGTCTAAATATGGTTTTGTACATTAATACTTTGTTCTGCGGCGAGAGTTTACTATTTCTTTTCAACCAAATACTGGCTTTAATAAGAGTTTTCTTTTAAAATAAAGCAATTTGAGCTATTTTCAATCCAATTTTACTCGATTTTAATACAGAATCAATTCAAAACTAATATATTTTATAAGTATAATTGCTTCAAT